GCAGATAAAAGGACCCCCTGCCCAGCCCCCGCCAACGGGAGAGTGGTGCGTGGAGGAGGACCAGGGGGAGAGGGGCCTCCCGCCAGCGACGCGCGTGCAGTGGGGCCTCCCCTCCACGGAGGAATCCTGGAACTCCCCTCTCGCCAGAAGCGAAACGGACCAAATTCAAAACGCCATCCAAAGGCTCCTCGCGCTCTTCGAGAAGGAGGCAGAGGAGGAGGGCGGGGCAAGGTACCTCGTCACCGATCCCCTCGCCACATCGCGATCTTCCTTGCAAATCAACGAGGGGGAAAATCCATATCATAGTGTCTTTATTTACTACGCCGTGAAGTTTCTTCGATTTCTATACATAGCGATGTGCATCGGGAGTGAGTCAACTATACTACCGCCATTTAATGGAGAACACGAAAAAACGTTTTCGTCTTTTTGCCTTAGGGAGACATCGGAGCTGCCGTTCCACAAGGATAATTCGAGCGTGCATAACGAGCTGAGCCTCACGAAGAGTCCGCCTTGCGTAAAAAATCAAAGCCGTACGTCATCGGTTTCCAGACAACGAGGAGGCGTTTTTTTACCTCGTATTTCCTCTACTATGCAAAAAAGGAAAAAAAGTGATTATCTGAATAAACAGAAAAACGAGCGAGTGAGTTTTCTGGAAAGAACTTCAGTTCTGAGTAATCAATCTCGCTCTTCCTCGCCTTCGTCTAAAACACAAAGCCGAACTTCTAGGAATGTCAGTAAAGTAGATCCCTGTGACGCGGCCGTGGAATATCTGGAAGACGCCTGTCGTTCGCTTTTAAAAAGCATCGGATCCGCATTAGGGAAGTTCACTGTTATGTCATCACCTGCTTTTAACCCTCGAAACAAAAATCGAGAAAAGCGAATTTCGGAAAAATCTATATAGCAATTTGTACTCAGGATCATTAAAACAACAAAAACGCATATTTCACATATGAAGAGACCACATAAATAGAAGAGGTATTGACAAGCCGCTAAACGACTTAAACAACATTGAGTTTTATGGATGTAGGATCCTACGAAACTTTGAACTCATTTTATGTAATCTATTGATCAATTCATCTCATGACGTAAGGTAATCTGTCAAGAGCTTCCAAAATTATTTTTTTGACTCAGGAAAAAAGGTTTAATTAGGCCATTAGTTTACCTTTTGAAATTATGTTTCATGGATATATACTATTTCCTTTATTTTCTTCCCAATATTTGTAAATAACCAAAACAAATAAGTGAACCGAGATAATTAGCGTAAAGGTTCACTAATTTGTTTTATTATTTGCTTAGTGATGAGTTGTATATCTCCATTGTCAATACTGATTAAATGTATTATTATTATTATTAAACAATGTATGTGCTCAAACATATTTATGGCTATATTTTCCAACCCATTTTACACAATTCAATAGTAGCAATGCATTGCTTTAGAATTTAAAGCAATAAATTTAGCACATATTTCTGAGATTGAGCCAAAATGCTACCTGTAGTGAAAATACGGAAAAGGAGTAAATCCCCAAATAAATTGCGTCAATCAGACGCCTCTAAAAGTTCCTTTGATAGCAAGCTCTCAAAAAGAGATAAACAAAGTATATCGTCGAATAAAAAGTCAAATTCACTGTTATCACTTCATCGAAATCTCCACAAAACGGAAAAAGCGGCCTCAAAGTTTAAAGCAGCGACCTATAGCCAAGCTTCAAAGCGGCCGAGTCTAAAACGTGTGGAAGGCGATAAAGCAAAGCGTCCGTCATATAGAAGTAAAGAAAGTATTGATCTTTCTTTACGAACGGGTGAAATTAAAATACCGTATGCGGCGTCTGAAAACCTAAGTCGACGATCCTCAGTAGCTTCGAAACATTTATTTTCCAAACGATCTTCTGTCATATCGCGCAAAAGCTCTTCCCGAATCTCCTCCAAACAACAAGCGCAGGAGTATTCGGACCTTCGTCTAATGATTCATCGACGAACCTTACCCAAGGATAAACCTCATGACATTTGCCCGTCTTTGATACCGCTGATGTCCAATCTAAGCCCATGTCATAGTACTCGTATGGAAGCCGATTTCAACCAGCAGGAGGGGACAATGCTGAGTTTAGAAAGCGAGCAAAGCATTTTAGAGTTTGATCCGAACGCCCCCCTCAGTACTTTTATTACACAGAATATCGATAAAATTCGAGCATCGCTAAATAAACAGCGCCTTCCAACGCGTTCGGTGAGGGATTTGCAGTCCGAGCTCGCACAGATTGAGGAATCCTGCCCGGCGCCCCTCAACCACGACCAGGAAATTCGGCGAATGGCGCGAGAGGCAGGGGTGGAGCTCACCGGGCCCTGGCTAACCCCCACCCATGGGTACGGAAAAAACAAAAGGACCTCCTCCGGCATTGGAAATTACCGTTTAGATGATCTTAGTGCGGGAAATTTGATTCGTATTTTTTGCTTTTGCGATTCGACTTCGTTGGTGGAGCTCAACCACGCCTGTAAACGATTTCACGTTCTCAGTGGTAGCCGTGAAGTAATGTTCGGGCGTGACCGTAAGGATCTTTGCACGGCCTTTACAAAAAATAGAACCTCAAGAGAAGCGAAAAAAGGGCTGCTCAATAATCGAGACCAGATGCGAAAAGAAGAGGAGGAGGAAATGGTTGTATGGAAAGCGATGTACAAGAATCTTAAGAAGAATATGGACGAACGCGTTATCGAAGAACACGCGCGAAAGCTTCCGGCAAGTGTGGAGGGTCTGTTTGGAAAACAACATCCAGAAGCTAGAACCCATGCGAAGCGCTGCGGCCTTAATCTCGTTCCAAGCAGGAAATTCTTTGATTTTCATTCCAATCGAAATACCTCCGAACTCAAAGGCGATGATGACGGAGAGGTTTTAAACCATGACGCCTATTCAACTCAGAAGTTGTGGACGCAAATCAAAGAAATCGAAGCGACGCGCGAAGAACTAATAAACCGCATTCAACAAAATAATGAGAGGGTTTCTTTGCAGAAAACACAGCTACAGGAACTTCAACATCGTATCTTTTCCTGCAGAATTGAAGACAATACAACGGAAAATGATAATTTACCAGCACCAAAAACCGCAAGTCCTTGCGAAAACGTTTTTGAGGACGCTTATCTCACGTTCGAGGATCTCGAACACTTTGAACGGCGTATGGTTTTGTTAATTCTTAACGGACGTGGTGGGGCAGCGGAAGTGGAATCCATTCCACTGGTGCTTCGACGCGGAATTGAAAGCTTCGCATCTTTGGAATTACTTTTATCCAATCCTTTGCTTTTTAACGCGAATGATGAATCCGGGGGAATCGAACACGCCGAGGCGCCTAAAGCGAGCTCATGGAGGGTGATTCATAAGCGTTGGTTGATGTTTAAGTCATTCTTTCCCCTGAATGATAATGGATATTATACCGCTCGGCGATGCCTAATTCAGTGCGCGATGAATGGGACTGACAAGGGACCCTCTATGGCGTTGAATAAGCGCCACGAGAAGGTGCTGCTTCGATTCACCGGCGTTCTTCGACGAGTGAAAAACATGAGGGATAGTGAGGTGTTGGATGTTATCATGTAAACTATTCATTACATTTCCCATTTAGGGTGCGGGAATAGGCATTATTATAGAATTTCCCCTTTTACTGATGTCTATAGAAGCGATTTCTCCAGTAAAATCGAAAAGTCCCTATACTAAAATTTAAAAAAAATCTTAAGCCTATTTATGCGTATAAAAAATTAAAATAAACTTATGAATTCGCGTCTTTTCATGGCCTTGTCTACAAGTAAGAAGTATTCATTTTCCCTCTATTTTTCTTTAGTACATGCGCTATTCTTCATAATAAATAAATATATATATATATATTCTTACTGTTTAATATCGAGAAAAAAAAGAGTGAAGGGGAGGAAAAGGTGGAGGACGAATGCGCCGTGCGTGGGGTGAGGTTCCGTACGCAAGGTGTACTCACCTTTCGCGATGTATGGCAACCATAGCCATGGGTCCCTCGGGCGCACCAAACGAAGAAATTCAAAAAGACGACACCCCTCACGACTACCTCACATCGGGTTTTCCAAAAGATCTGGACTCGCAGGCCCATCAGGCCTCGCGAACGGCAATAATTGAGGAGATCCTCTGCTACGATAAAGAGGTCTTCAACCTCAAGCGCCAACATGAGCTCAGTATGCTCCGCGTCGAGAATAACCAACGGCGGATTTTGAAAGATCAAGAAGACCGCGGCCTCTACTACGAACAAAACTGTAATGTGCACACCTTCGAGACGGTATCGAGTGGGTTGCATTCACAGCGTAGTACACTATACCACACGATGGGCGTGGAGCGGTTGCGTAATTTTAAGCTCCTGCTGATCATCTTGACGACTATTATGACGTGTTTCTATCTTTACTTTCGCTATATGGTAAATCCGAAATGGGAGTATGTGGAGAGGCCGGTGAAGGTGCTTGGGAGCCGTGTGCAAACGGTGCGCGAAATTCGCTGGAATCGCATGACAGATGAAGATAAAATTCAGGAGCTTGAAGATAAAAGAAAGTTTTTAACGCCTTCTACTGAGAAGAAATAATATTTCTTCTCGCATGGTGCATACACGCATAAAAAACAACAGTTTCATGATCTTATTTGCTGCAATACATATCTATATTCTATCCTTCTATATATATATATATATATATATATAG